CTGATGGCACCTGGTATTTCTGGCCACTGTGTGATACAGAGTGTTGGGCTGGATGGGCCTTTGGCCTGATCCAACATTGGCGTCTCTTATGTTCTTATATGGAGCAGAGGTCCATCAGTGGCTATTAGCCACAAGGTCTAGATAGGGGCTCTGGGGCAAGTGATGCTCTGTCTTCTTGGTGCTTGGGGGGGGGGGTCAACAGTGGGAGGGCTTCTAATGTCCTGGCCCCACTGGTGGACCTCCTGATGGCACCTGGTATTTCTGGCCACTGTGTGCCACAGAGTGTTGGGCTGGATGGGCCTTTGGCCTGATCCAACACTGGTGCCTCTTATGCTCTTAAGGCAGCTTCATGTGTATGATCTTGTATAATCTTGCAAGAACAGGTCTCTCTATGCAATCGCTGCATGTCCGAGTCAGCTCTGGCAATACCTTCCCCCTTCCCAGCCTTCAGTCCGTCAAGTCCACCCGCCCACCCTACCTGTACACCAACGCGAGGATATTCAGCATGGTAGCCACATCGGGGTGGTCGTGGCCGGAGGTTTTCTCGAGGTCCTCCAGGGCCTGCTTGCAGAGGGGCACGGCCACCTCGTAGCGCCCTTGGGAGGCGTACTGGATCACCAGGTTGTGCAGCGTCCGCAGGCGCGCGGGGATCTCGTAACCGCCGTGCTGGGCTGCCGCGTCCCCACTGCCGTGGTTCTGCCCTGCAGAGGGAACGACGTAATCAGCTGGAGAGCCCGGCGGCCTCTTAGACAACCCCTTGAAACACCCCCACCCCACCCCGATTATCAGGCTTAAAACAAGACAAACTGAAATGGAGCATCCCTCGACATAACCATCCTACGGGACTCAATACCACAGATCATGGAGGAAATTAAGACTTGTACAAGGGAAGGGATGGTGCCCTTGGAAGAATTATGGGGAATATATGGGACAAGCGACTACATGCTGGGAATCAATACAGTCGTTGCCACTGGACTAAATATCCATTTTGTGCTTCATGTGCCAAGTGCTGATCATACGGTGCTCACAAGCAACCCCACGGCACACCCATCTGGCTGTTGGTAAAGAAATTATTGACTTATTTATATACTTCATTTATACCCCACCTTTTCCCTCAAAGGGGCTTACAACATAAGAACATAAGAGAAGCCATGTTGTATTAGGCCAATGTGGCCCAAGCAGTCCGACACTGTGTCACACAGTGGCCAAAACCCAGGTGCCATCAGGAGGTCCACCAGCGGGGCCACAACTCCAGAAGCCCTCCCACTGTGCCCCCCCCAGCACCAGAATACAGAGGATCGCCACCTCATTCTTCGTCTTCTGTTTTATCCTCACAACAACCTTACAAGGTAGGTTAGGCTCAGCTTGTGTGCCTGGCCCAAGGTCACCCAACAAGACTCCAAGGCAGAGTGGAGATTAGAACCTGGGTCCAGCATTCTAACTGCTGCGCCATGCTGACTTGGGTGTAACCATGGGTCTGATGCAATACTGCAAACTTTTTTAAAAAACATGTAAAATACAAAACATAAGAAGAAAGAAACCTGCAATTGAAACCATTAAAATACGCAAGAGGTCAAATTCCGTCTTGATGTTTGTTATTCTAGTACTGGATTTTTTTAAAAAGTCAATTTCTCAATAACCTAATCTACCTAAACATTCATCTTTTACTGTTGTGGCCTAAAATATAATTTAGCCATAAAAAGCAATGCTCCAAATTCAAGCTGAAACTGAAAGGCACTCATTCCACACACATACACACCCAGTGCCATAATACACCTTTGGGGGTGTGACTGATAATTACAAAATGAACTCTATGCCAGTGTTCTCCGTGATCCCCTTCAAGTAACGAGCCAAAGGGCACAGTTCTGGGGTCATTCCTTGAATTAAGCCTGTGCCCAAAATGTCTGTTTAAGAAAAATATGGAACAAATCCACCTGTGGTAACTGACTTCTCCAACTCAGATCTATAAGGTTTCTATGTTTAAACAATCTTGAGCCTGTTCTGTGGCTAGGCGGGATACAAATCGAAATTATAAAATAAATAAATAAATAAATAAATAAAATCTATGAGGAGTCAGATGTCACGGAGAACATGATTTAAAAAAAAAACATTTTTCTTTCAATCCAAGCTTGGCTGGAAGTGTCCCAGATTGCAAGACCACTCGTCCACTGGCACCTCTCCATTTAAATCTCCTAACGTATCTGATGGCATAAAACCTTCTGATTTAATAGCAGAGAATAAATCTCCAAGTCCAAAATGCCACTAGTATGTTTACTGCTGCTGATCCAGTGCAGCAAACTCTTAAGTTCATACTCAGAAAGACTACACACAAGATGGTCTTTGCAGAGGACGTAAGAACATAAGAGAAGCCAGTGTTGGATCAGGCCAGTGGCCCATCCAGTCCAACGCTCTGTGTCACACAGTGGCCAAAACCCAGGCGCCATCAGAAGGTCCAACCAGGGCCATCCTGAGGTTTTTCGGTGCCCTAGGCAAAACTAGCGCGCCCCCCCCCCCAGGTGAGGCTGCCTTGTGTCCCGCCCCCCCGCGTGCCTCTCGGTGCGCTCAGCGGGGGGTGTAAGTGGGGGCCGCCGGGGGGGGGGGGGGCTACAAGGCTCTTCGGAGGGCGGCCCTTCTGCCACTTTGGTGTAGTTTGGAGCCAGTTTGGGGTAGTGGTTAAGTGCGCGGACTCTTATCTGGGAGAACTGGGTTTGATTCCCCACTCCTCCACTTGCACCTGGCTGGATGACCTTGGGCAAGCCGTAGTTCTGTCAGAGCTGTTCTCGAAAAAGAGCAGTTTCTGTCAGAGCTCTCTCAGCCCCACCTACCTCACAGGGTGTCTGTTGTGGGGAGGGGGAGGGAAAGGAGTTTGTAAGCCGCTCTGAGACACCTTTGGGTAGTGAAGGGCGGGGTATAAATCCAATCTCCTCCTGTTCTTCTTTTTCTTCCCCCCCCCATCTGCTTCCCCCTGTCTCTCCTTCCCCCCCGGGGACCAGGACCCCACCAGCAGCGTGTGCCCCGTCCCCTCGCTCCCCATGGGGGTGGCGCCAAGGAGACTCACCGAGGGCGGCGTGGAGGAGTTGTCCGGTCCAAGCAGGCCCGTCTCGGAGGAGGAAGCGGCGGCGGGTCTCCAGCCCCCTCTGCACCACGAATGCCTACCGGAGCCGCCCTGCCGCTGGGCCCTTCAGGCAGCGCCGTCCACCTCCTCCCCGCCCTGCAGACAGGGGGGGCACTTCCTCCCTCCTTGCTTCCTTCCCCGCCCACTTCTCGGCGCACTGAGCGCCGGACTCGGGGTGAAAGAGGCGGCGGAGGTGGCAGTCCCCCAGCCAGGGACTAAATGCATACAGGGCTTTTGGCGGCGGGTGTGTGTGCAGTTTGGCGCCCCTAAGGGCCAGCACGCTCTAGGCAAACGCCTAGTGAGCGAGCCGGCCTTGAGTCCAACCAGTGGACCCCAGCCCCCCCCCCCCCCCGTGGCCCCCCAAGCAACAAGGATACAGAGCATACCTTGCCCCAGACAGAGTGTTCCCTCTATACCTTGTGGCTAATAACCATGGATGGACCTCTGCTCCATATACCTCAAACGACCATGGCTCAAGGCAAAGGTGCTCGGCACCTTCTGTCCCTCCTGTCAAGCTTCCTATCCTCCTGGTGGCTTAATGGCTCTGAAAGCGATGGCCGAAGGTCTGGACTGACCAAGTTGTGGGGCTGAAACCCAGGCTTCCCTTTCTCCCCTCCCCTCCATCACTCCCCCCCACCAGTGGCTCAAACATTCAGAACCCAATTTTTAAAATAAGCCTCCTACAAAGGAAGGGCTAACCCGAACAAAGCCCAAAGAAAAGGCAAACATGCCATTAAGAAAAATTGTCCTCAAGTTGCAGCCAACCTATAGCGGTCCCGTACTGTTTCCAAGGCAAGGGACAAGCAGAGGTGGCTTGCCATTGCCTTCCTCTGTGTAGCGACCCCGGACCTTCCTTTGCGGTCTCCCATCCAAGGACTAAGCAGGGCCGACCCTCCTTAGCTTCCAAGATCTGATGAGATCAGGCTAACCTGGACCCTGCAGGTCTGCGAAACACAGTTTGCGAAACGCGGCTAGCTCCGGCCAAAGACGTTCTCCATCTCTGCCATCTTCCCCAGCCGTGAAATGGGCACAGGGGGCTGGATTAAGATCAGCTGCCCTTGCTTCCTGAGAGGGAAGACTCACCAGGTCAGTGTTCCCTCCAAGCTCAGGTAGTGTGAGCCAGCTCACAGTTTTTTAGCCTCCGGCTCACACATTTTTGTCTTAGCTCAGGAAGGATGGGCTCCGGAGCAAACTAATTTATGCAGCAGCCACATCGCTGGCTCACAAAGCTGAATTTTTGCTCACAAGACTCCACGGCTTAGAGGGAGCATTGCACCGGGGGGGTGGGGGGTGGCCAGGAGTCAGTTTGGCTTCAAGGATGCCCCAAGCTCACCTTGTCCCTGGTCGTCGTCATTAGGGAATAGGTCATCCAGTGAGTCCTTAGCCGTCTCCCCGTTCTTTTCCTCCTGGACAGAGAGAAGACAGTTGGTAATGGAATTCGCCCACCGTCGCAAGAGAAGAGGAAAAGATACAGACGTTCCCTCCCAGTTCTTCTGCTCAGCTCTCCCGAAGTTTAGACTAGGTAACTAAGGCACCATGTATAATAATATATAATTATATGTGTGTGTGTAGGTAAAGGTAAAGGTCCCCTTGCTCGAAAGCCAGTCGAATCCAACTCTAGGGTTGCGGTGCTCATCTCCGTTTCAAAGCCGAAGAGCCAGCGCTGTCTGAAGACATTTCCGTGGTCATGTGGCCGGCATGACTAAACACCAAGGTGCACGGAACGCTGTTACCTTCCCACAGAAGTGGTACCTATTTATCTACTTGCAGTTTCTTGCTTTCAAACTACTAGGTTGGCAGGAGCTGGAACTAGAGACGGGAGCTCACTCCATCATGCAGCACCCGGGGTCTCAAACTACTGACCCTCCACAGCCTGCAGTTCAGCGTCTTAACCACTTGAGCCAACGCAGCTCATACACACACACACTATGCTTATGAGATATAATCACAATAAAGAATACTTAAGACTTCCAAAATTAAGACAGTTTGTTACACACATGCAATAATGCACCATTAACAATGTGTAGTTTCTAACAATACGATGCCACAACAGCAAAACTTATCATTCAGACAGAATATACAAAAAAGAAATGATTCAAATAGCTGTATTTCTGTAATCATGGACAAAGACGACGCTGAAATAAGCTGAGGCTTGACAAAGAGCTTCAAAAAATGCTGAGATGAACTGAAATGTGAAAGGCTACAGGGACCGGTAAGAATCCTTCCTTAGGTCTTGCAGCAACAGACGTCTTAAATTTAACAGTGGAAATCTATTCCCTGTACTAGTTACATAATAGCGCGGAGCACTGAAGATGTCAACTCCAGTTTCACAGACTTTACATCATTTCACAAGTGAGAGACCCTCTGGTCAAAAATTATGTACCAGGGTATAATATAATTGGGTATAAAATAACTGCCAGGGTTGTTTATTCATTGTCCAGTCTATTATGTACTATTTGGTGAGCAAAATGTATTTTTCTACTTCTTAACAGTTATGAAATGTTGCTTCTGAAGAAGTATCATTCCAGAGTCTTTGTAACCTACTTACATTGCTACTTTGTACACCTTCATGCTGTTTATATACATTGATATTTTGTACACCTGGATACTTTGTATACATATTTTGATATTTAGTTCTTGTTTATTATTTGTTGGTATTGGATGTAGTTGTGATAAATTATATTTGTTAGCATCTCCTTCCCAGCTTTATTTCTTTACACATTTCAGCTCGGCAGTTCTTTTACTATAGCTTCTGAGATCTGACAGGGTTTGATTCCCGGGTTTGATTCCCCACGCTTCCACATGCAGCTGCTGGTGTGACCTTGGGTCAGTCACAAGTTCTTTCAGAGTGGTTCTCTCAGGAGCAGTTCTCGAGAGTGTCTGTTGTGGGGAGGGGAGGGGAAAGGAGACCGTAAGCCGCTCTGAGACTCTTTTGGGTCGTGAAGGGCGGGGTAGATATCCAATCTCTTCTTCTGACTACATTGGGCTTGCCTGGGCTATCCAGGTGAGGGCCTCTGCAGGTGTCTTGAAAGGCCTCCTATAAAGTAGTGCCTGACACTGAAATGCACATGGGAACAGAGCCGCAGTGCGGGTACCCCAGCCAAGACGGGTGCATTCTAAGGGTGGCCACACAAGCAAAACCCCAACCAGCAGAGGACGACAGAAAAGGACCTTGGAGGAAGCTGAAGTCCGGGAGACGGAGATCAGCCGCAGTCTTAAAATCCACACCCCAGGTTTTAAGATAAGCTTGTCAAGTGTGGCCTGTTTTGCTCTCTTGGAACAGATTGGGGGGGAGGGGGAGGGAAGAGGAGAGGAGAGCGCCTACCGAGGGCGAGATGTCCTCGTCGAACTTCTTTATCTGGTTCATGAACTCCAGGTGCTTCTTCTCCTCCTCCAGCTGGGCCACGGCCTGCTCGCTGCGCTGCAGCTTCTGCTGGGTGCCGGCCAGCTCGTCCCGCAGCCACTGGTTCTCCTGCACCAGGCGCCGCACCTGAGCCCGCAGCTTCTGCTTCTCCGACTCCACGGCACTCAGGTGGCTTGAGAGGGCGATGATCACCTGCGAGGCGGAGGGGGGGGGAGAGGAAGAAGCCGAGTCGGGCATCACCGGTAACCGATCCGTGCCGCTCCCACTTCCACTGACAAAGATACCTTCGCCTAGAACTCTCCCCACCCCCACTTTGGTGGCGTGGTTAAGTGCGCAGGACTCTGATCTGGGAGAACCTGGTTGGATTCCCCACTCCTCCACTTGCACCTGCTGGATGACCTTGGGCAAGCCGTAGTTCTGATAAGAGCTGTCCTTGAAAAAGAGCAGTTTCTGTCAAGAGCTCTCTCAGCCCCACCTGCCTCACCGGGTGTCTGTTGTGGGAAGGGGGAAGGGAAAGGAGTTTGTAAGCCGCTTTGAGACTCCAAGTGAAGGGCGGGGTGTAAATCCAATCTCCTCCTCTCCTCCACTTCCAAAGGTACCTTCGCCTAGAGCTTCCCACTTCCACGGAGAGAGACAGCTATGCTCAGAGCTTCCCGCTTTTGATAGAAACCCACTGGGAGACTCTGGGAGATTCTCACAGCTGTCTCTGACTTTCTTCCCTGAAAGACAGAGCTAAAGAATCACAGATTCACAGAGCTGGAAGGGACCTCCAGGGTCATCTAGTCCGACCCCCTGCACAAGGCAGGAAATTCACAAATACCTCCCCCCCGACACCCCTAAGTGACCCCTGTTCCCCACCCAGAAGATGACAAAAAACCTCCAGGACCTCTAGCTAAACTGGCCTGGAGAAAAACTGCTTCCTGACCCCAAAGTGGCAATTGACATTTCCCTCAGCATGTAAGAAAGGGCCACGAGAACTAAGCACTGAGGCAACCCTTCCTGCCCTCCCTCTCACGATCTGCCTAAGTTCACAGAATCAGCATGGCTGACAGATGGCATCTGTTTAAAAACTTCCAAAGGAGGAGAGCCCACCACCTCCCGAGGAAGCCTGTTCCACCGAGGAACCGTTCTGTCAGGAAGTTCTTCCTAATGTTTAGCTGGAAACTCTTTTGATTTAATGTCAACCCGTTGGTTCTGGCCCGACCTTCTGGGGCAACAGAAAACAACTCCGTACCATCCTCTATAGGACAGCCCTTCAGGTACTTGAAGATGGTGATCCTATCACCTCTCAGTCGTCTCCTCTCCAGGCTAAACATCCCCAGCTCCTTCAACCTTTCCTCATAGGACTTGGTCTCCAGACCCCTCATCATCTTTGTTTCCCTCTTCTGGACACTATACTTCTGTTGATACAGCCCAAAATCGCACCGATAGATGGCTATCAACTGTAGCGGGCCAAGCAGAACCTCCCTGTTCAGAGACAATGTACCCCCTGAATGCCAGTTGCCACAGAAGGAGCGCTCTGGTCGTCGCTTCACAGAACCATCTGGGCGGCTACCAGGGAAGAGAAGGCTGCTGGACCGTCTCCTGCTCAACATCTGGCCTGGGACATACATTTTATGGCAGTTTCTCTGCCTGGGGGTTTTCTAGTCGTTCAGAGGTCGCCTGTTCTTGCCCACCTCTGCAGAGCAACCCTGGACCTCTTCGGCGGTCTCCCATCCAAGCACGAACCGGGGACGACCCTACTTAGCTTCCGAGAGCTAACGGGATTCGGCTAGCCCGGGGCCATCCAATTTCCCCACCCCCACTGTGTTGCAATCTGTCTGGAAGGCACAGGAGCACTTCGACACGAAAAACAGGATTTTTTCAGAGACCCCCTCCCCCTGCCGCTTTTTAAGCATTCCTTGAAAAGAAGAGAAGAGGAAGAAGAGCAGCAGCAGCAGATTGGATTTATACCCCGCCCTTCACTTGGAGTCTCAGAACAGCTTACAAACTACTCTCCCTTCCTCTCCCCATAACAGACACCCTGTGAGGTAGGCGGGGCTGAGAGAGCTCTTTCCAGAACTCCTCTTTTTCAAGGACACCTCGGACAGAACTATGGCTTGCCCAAGGTCATCCAGCAGCTGCGAGTGGAGGAGTGGGGAATCCAACCCGGTTCTCCCAGATTAGAGTCTGCGCTCCTAACCACTACACCAAACCAGAGAAGGCGGCAACCCCCATCTCGGGCATGGGCTGCCTGACTTCCGCCCATTCGGTTTGCTCCTCTGCATTTACCACCAACCGGCTACCCCTGCGGGGCTCCCGGCGAACGTTACCTGGGCCTCCCCGAGCCCCAACTCGATGGCGTCCAGGGACTTGCGCAAGAGGCTGGCCTTCTCCTGGGCGGCGCTGGCGTCGTGCTGCTGCTCCAGGCAGCCGATGGTGTCGAGCAGGGCGGCCAGCAAGGAGTGGTGCTCGGTGCGCAGGGTCTCCAGGCCTTGCACCACCGCCTTGGTGCCCAGCACGATCTCGTCCTGGCTCATCTTCTCCAGCTTCTCCTCGCGGGGGTACAGCATGGTGGCCATGCCCGGGCCTGCCCAAGACAAAAAGGAGAAAGGAAGGAGGGGGAGATTAGGGGTTGTGGAGGGTCACTCGCCCTGCGCGCCAGAATGGCCTGCCCAGGTAAGGAAACATCAAAACACAGAGCTGGAAGGAACTTCAAGGGTCCTCTAGTCCAACCTCCAGCACAATGCCAGAGCGCCAGTTTGGTGGAGAGGTTAGGATAGCAGACTCTAATCTGGGAGAACTGAGTTTGATTCCCCATTTCTCCACATGCAGCTGCTGGTGTCACCTTGGGTCAGTCACAAGTTCTCTCAGAACTGTTCTCTCAGGGGTAGTTCTCGAGAGAGCTCTCTCAGCCCCACCTACCTCACAGGGTGTCTGTTGCGGGGAGGGGAAGGGAAAGGAGATTGTAAACCGCTCTGAAACTCCTTCGGGTAGTGAAGGGCGGGGTATAAATCCAATCTCCTCCTCTTCTTCTGCTCTATGCTCAGAGGAAGGCCAAAAACCTCCAGGATCCCTGGGCCAATCTGGCCTGGAGGAAAATTCCAAAGCGGCGATCGGCATGATCCTGGGCCACATAAGCAAGGACCACGAAAGCTGAGCACTGGCTCATCCCTTTGTCCCCTTCCTCTCATGATCTGCCTAGATTCACAGGATCCGCACTCCTGTCAGTAGAAAAAAGCAAAAGTCCAGTAGCACCTTGAAGACTAACAAAATTCGTGGCAGGGGAGGAGCTTTTGTGAGTCCCTGCTCATGGCTTCAGAGAGCACTGGCTGTCACATGGCCACCTAGCCTCTGCTTAAACCCCCCCCCCCAAGAAGGACTCTGTGCAGAAGTTGGCCCACGATTCCCAGCACTGGGATATGCTAGTAAGCCAGATGTGGGGGACGTATCCGAAAGACTGCCCTTTTGCTCCTGAAGTAGCGTCACCGTTAAGAATGTGACACCAGCAGGGGTCATTTCGTAGAAAAAGAGCTAGGGGGACTCATTAGCATAACTCATTAGCATATGCCACACCCCCTGACATCAGGGGCCCGGCAGTGGACCTGCAAGGCCAGCGGGAGTGCGAAGAAGCCCCGCCAAGGCCCTCCCTGGCCCCAGGCAGGCAGGGGTGGGGAGAGGCGGGGAGGAAGCAACTTACCCTCCCTCTTCTCCTGCCTCCTCCTGGCTGAATGAGGGCTGGAAGCGGGGCGGCCGGAAGCAGGGGTGTCCTGTGCCCCGCCCCCTGCCCCTCACCCGGGGGAACTGCGTTCCCCCCCATTCCCCCCCCCCCCGAAATGACCTCTGGACACCAGACATCCGGGGTTCAAAACGCTTTGGAGAACAGGGCAGGATAAAGACACTTTGAATAACTGAATGAACAGATCCGCCCCCCCCCCATACACACCATATTCTAGTAAAATGGGGTCCCCCAACACGGTGCCCGCGGGCGCCATGGTGTCCCAACACCTTTTCTGGAACCCACCAAGTGTTTTCAGGAAGTGGGTGGGGCCAGGTAAGGCTTTTAAGAACATAAGAACATAAGAGACGCCAATGTTGGATCAGGCCAAAGGCCCATCCCGTCCAACACTCTGTGTCACACAGTGGCCAGAAATACCAGTGCCATCAGGAGGTCCACCAGTGGGGCAAGGACATTAGAAGCCCTCCTACTGTTGGCCCCCCCAAGCACCAAGAAGACAGAGCATCACTTGCCCCAGAGCCCCTATCTATGCCTTGTGGCTAATAGCCACTGATAGACCTTTGCTCCATATGCTTATCCAATTCCCTTTTGAAGCCGCCCATGCTTGTAGCCGCCACCACTTCCTGTGGCAGTGAATTCCAAGTGTTAATCATTCTTTGGATGAAGAAGGACTTCCTTTTATCTGTTCTAAGCCGACCGCTCAGCAGTTTTGCTCAGCAAGGCTTCTGAACGGCTACTGGAGATTTGATTGGCCGTGCAGATTTTTTTAAAATGTTGCTTTGGCAGCAGCTGCCACCGTGACACAAGCATCTTCACTATGCGACTCAAGTTAAGCTATTGGCCGTCGCTCTGTGGCTGGCTCCACCTCCTGCAGCAACCCGAAGATACCTGCAGACTCAAAAAGGTTGGGAATCCCTTTTGCAAAAGAACCAAAGCAGCACTGCAACGGTTCGGCTCAGGAGGCGATTTTCATCAGGGATAAATAGTCTATCCTACACTCCCTGTCTTGTCGCCTTAAACAGATCATACGTTTCCATGCGCTGTTCAGGCTATTTTTCCTCCCCCGTTTTTCCGTCCCAGTCCAACTCCATTATTCGGTCTTACCAGAAAGAGCCAGTTTGGCGTAGTGGTTAAGAGCATGGACTCTAATCTGAGAGAACCAGTGTTTGATTTCCCCACTCCTCCACATGCAGCTGTTGGGATGACTGTGGGTCAGTCACAGGTTTCCTCAGAGCTGTTCTCTCAAGGGCAGTCCTCAGGAGAGCTCTCTCAGCCCCACCTACCTCACAGGGTGTCTGTTGTGGGGAGGGGAAGGAGACTGAAAGCCACTCTCATACTCCTTCGGGTAGTGAAGAACGGGGTATAAATCCAATCTCTTCTTCTTCTACCAGGAATTTTTGCTGTCGTAGTACCTCGGCCACTGTTCATTAATTGCCTGATATTATAATACATTTTAATCTAGTTACTCACTGAAGGTTTTATCATACTTGTAATCCACCATGAGGTCCAGTGAGAAAGGTGGACTAGTACGAATTTTAATTACATGTTCAATTATACTCTGCCTTTCTCCCCCAACGGAGACCCAAAGTGGCTTGTGTAGTTCTCCCCTCCTCCACTGTTGCCCTCACAACACCCCCGTGAGGTAGGTTAGGCTGAGAGTGTGTGACTGGCCCAAAGTCACCCAGCTAGCTTCTGTGGTAGAGTGGGGATTCCCACCTGGATCTCCCAGATTCTTGCCTGACACTCTAGCCACTGCACCATACTGGCAATAATTAATTAATTATTGTATGGCATTGTATGTAGTATAGACAGGAGATCCTAAGATTGTCTGGCAGCCAAAAGTTGTGGGATTGAAGCTGGGACCTTCTGCATGCCAAACGGATGCTCTGCCACTTTATTTAAGGTCCTGCGGGACCTTCTACAATTCCGCAGGGCCTGTGAAACCGAGCTCCTCCACCAGGCTTTCGATTAGGAGCCGACACTGAACGAGCTACTGAACATCTATTACTGGCACTTTCTTTGGGATACTGGTCTAGTCATACGGGGCCCAACGACAACGATCGCCATCTGCACTTTATCGTTTGTATTTAATCTACACTTTATATTTTATTGTTAGAATTTCATCTGTTTTTATTGTAAATTATTATTGTATGCCGCCTTGAGCCTGCTTGTCAGGCAAGGCGGGATAGAAACCGAATTAAATAAATAATAGATTTATAGCCCGCC